CCGCTGCTCCTCGGGGCCGGTCACATCCTGCGGGGTGAGGGGCAGCTGTGCCCGGCTCTGTCCCGCAGCCCCGGGGCACGGCCACCTCCAGCCCTCTCCAGGATGGGATGGGACAACCCCGGCGGGGGTTCAGGACTTACGTTGCCTGTGCTCTTGTCCCCGCCGCCCGACGAGACGCTCCACCGCTTTTCTCGCTGTGGAAAAACCCCAGCGCTCAGCCCCGGCAGCGCCCCTGGGTGCCCCCAATCTCCCCGGGGTGCCACAGTCCATGCAGGAGGAGGTAATGGATTGCGGTGTGTAGACCAGGGCAGGACAGGGCCTCCAGGACCTCACCTTGGAGGAGCCGGTGGACGAAGCCCGGTACCGGTCCAGCGTGTGGAATTTCTGGTTGAGCTCGTGGTAGAGCTCAGAGTGGCGTTTCCGTGTGTGCATCACCTTCTGTGGGGGCAGAGCAGAGCCTGTGGCCATGGGCACTGCCCGCTGTCCCTCAGCACTGTCCCTGTCCCTGTCCCCGTCCCTGCCTTCCTGGGGCATCCCAGACGAGCAGCAGAGCCCACTCTGTGCTCGTCATCGGTATTTTAATCCACAGCCAACGCTTGTTACTGCCTGGTCTCAACCCCTCAGAGCTCAGGAGCTGCCAGTGGGGTGAAGGGAGTGGGGACAAACTGGATCAGTCCCCCACGACGGCACCGGTGACACCTCCATGGCAGGACTTACCTCGAAGTCCAGGTCAGAGTACCGCAACCTCTTCCTCTGGCAGGGGGACAGGCAGGAGCAGGGGGAGGAGATGGAGAAGAAAAGGGAAAGGTCTTTGCAGGTCCGGGATGAGGGGGAACAGGGTTTAGGGGCTCATGCTAGCCCCAATCCATTCCCAGTTTGGACACAGAGCTCATCCCGCCAAGGGTGGGATGGCCGGGGGGAGCATGGGGGGGAATTCGTGCAACCCTCCACGTGCACTCGTGTCCTGGCACACACCTCCCTCCCCACATCAGCCCCCCGCTCACCTCCAGGGACCCCACTTTCATGGCAGAGCCGGGCACGGTTCGGGGCATGGTGCGGCTGCGCTCCGACAGCTCCGAGGCCAGGATCTGCCTCACCGTGGGATGCTGCTTGAACTGGAGGCCGTAGGGAGCCTTCACCGTCGCGTAGGGCTGGTTCAGGTTCACGTTGACGTGATCCACGGCCACAAAACCGGGGTAAGCGTCCCCTTCGGCTGCCGGGCGCCCCGTCCCACCGGGCACCGTCTCCTCTGCGCCGGCACCGAGCGTCCCCTCGTCCCGGGGGAAGGGCTTGAGGCTGCCGGTGCGGCGGGGCAGCATCATGTAATCGCTCTCGCGGGGGGGCTCGGGGGCCCGGATCCAGCCGTATTCCAGGGGCCGCAGGCTGCTCTCCGTGCACAGGTAAACGGGACCCGGCGCCTCCAGGCTGAGCTGCTGCGCCGGCGGCTCGCCCAGCTCCGTCAGACCCGCCACCACGTTGGGCGTCATCTTGGGCACCTGCACCAGGATGCTGGCGGGGGGAATGTTCCCCGGCAGGCTGGAGAAGCCCAGGCCACCTTCCGAGGTAGTGTTGAGCTTGGGGTCTTCGTCCCCGTCCAGGGAGATGCGGGACAAGGTGCCCGTGATGGTGGCGGGGTTGCAGGTGTTCACCTCTTTGAACAGCACTGTGGGCAGGGAGCGCGGTCAGAGCCAGCCCCGAGGGTCCCACGGAGGGTGGGAGACACAGGAGAGACCCCCCGGCTCGTGCTGCCTTGCGCCTCCCAGGTGTGGCAGGGTGACAACAGAGGAGAGCTCACCTGTCTGACATGCCAGGTCAACGTCCTTTTCAAAATCTGTCTATAAAAATCCAGAAAGAGGGGAGAGAGCGAGAGAGAGAGGAGAGAAAGAGAGGGAGAGAGACGGGGAAATGAAGCACCATGGCCGGCACAGGCAGCGGCGGGGTCTCCAGGGGGGACCCACTCACCAGGATCTGCACCTGCCCGTTCTTGCAGGAGTCGGGCGAGTTTTCATTCTCCTCGCTCCTGCACCCCCCCATCTGACACTTCACCACGTCCTGGACCTGCGGGGACAGAGCCGGTCACGGCACCGCGGCCAGGGCTGTCCCCCGGCACCCCTCCGGCGCCGCCCCACCTCTCGGCGCAGGAAGCCGTGCACGGTGATGATGACGAAGCCCTGGACGGAGTTGAAGACGGCGAAGAGGACCTGGAAGAGGATGGAGCGCCGGTCGGTCATGGCGAGCACGGCCGACATCCAGGTCAGCGCCAGCAGAGGCAGGACCACGCAGGAGCTCCACAGCGATGCCCTGGCGCAGGGAGAGAGGGGCCGGGGTGAGCCCGCGGGGCGAGGCTGCCCCGGGACAGCCCCCCGAGC